CTGCTTTGTTTTTACTCATTCATCTTGTCACGTCTATTCATTTACATCCTGAATAAACCTTTATTGCATTGTATCTACTTGATAACCCTCTCCACCCCCACCAAACAAGACCCCAAGAACGGGATTAAAGGGAGTGACACCCGTCTACGACAGCAAACTCACCCATGATACGGGGTGAGGATAGAGAGGTAGCCATTACAGTTCAGTGCCTCGTACCAGTAATATAAAACAAGTAAACTTAGTTAACACCGGTGAAAGTAAAACAGGTCAAGTGGTGGTGCCAACTAATGATGGCTTATGTCATGTAAATCGGCCTCAAAGTGAAGTACCTTTTACGTGATTCAAACAAGTGGTCAGCGTTCCTGTGTAACCGAAACAGAAGCCTCATGCATGCTTACATCAGACTAGCCTATTCCCCACCCCCCTCCACAAAGGCCACGCTTTTGAGATGCAATTGTAAAACTTTTGCCATGAACGGACTACGAAAGTACCAAGATTACTATGATACCCACTATCAAAATAACACCCATTTGAAAACAATACGAACGTGACGAGATTTCGAAATGAAATTCATGTAAACGGGTGGTGAGGTCATTATGCATGAGGTCTGTCATCTAGTGCACCATAACTTTGGACTGTTGAATCCCTAACGCGAGCTCCGGATTGCTTGACGATCTCGGTCTCGATTATAACAAAATGCAAAAACATATGAATAAGGAATCCGAGGAACATCGGTGGACCTGCCTTAATGAGAATCTTCATACTTTCATCATTGATTTCACACCTGGAGGAAAAGAAGAGTGAAATAAGTAATTAAATGTAGCTTGGAAGTCATCAATCACTCTGGTAACTTCAGAAGTACCAGCGGTCGCCTCCAGGAGTTTTTGGATCGTGTGGGTGACTAATGTAACCTCCCTATGATTGGTTAATGGTTGCCTTTGGAAACCATAGACCAATCATAGTTCATTCTGAATGCCCTAAGCGATGTTAGAATTCCTAGCTAGGGCCCAAGGCTGTTGGTGCGAAGTTGAGCATTCTTCTAACTTCCATATCTCGAATGGTTTTTTTTTTCTTTTTTCACTTCTGATAAATGCAGCTGCAGGGAAATTCGTACCATGTCATGTAAGACCTAGCTCGTCGCGGCGAATCTTTAATAACGGGTACATGTCCCGAGAACAGTTTGTCACACAACGCTTGTAACTGTTGATCGGTTCGTTGCATGCCATGTGCTATGCATCTTTGTCACGCTGTTTTCCAGAAAGCTGCGAAATTTCGAATCGCATTCGAAAAGAAAACGAAGAAAACGTGAAAGTAGTGAAGAATGACGGTTTCATATCGGGTGGAACGAAATACAACCAACCGATATTCCCCATCCAAAAAAGAACGAACGAAAGAAATAAACGACAAACAGAGGAAACTAAACAAATTAATACATGCAGGCACAAAGAAAAACAAAGTATTATTGACAGTACTATTATATTTCTACACAAACCTGAGTCTGCTGTCTAGCGGCCCCACGTATTGATCAATCAGACTTTCTAAAAACGCTCCGAGTATTGCCAACATAGTAGCGGGAACCAGAAAGTGATTTATCCTCACGCCACGATTTTTCTGGGGCAGAGATCGTGCGTCGACTTTCAGGAACAGACCCATGAGAAATAAAGTTGAAATGCAGCGGGCAGCATACCTTGCAACGAGAAGGACAAAGTATGGTGGGTCATCAATGTCCTCTCTTTCATTTGCAGTAACTGCCCAATAGCCAGCGATGGGCGCTTTAATCATCCAACAGGCAAATCCAACTGCACCCAAACAACAAACCTATGAAGAAACCCAATGGAAGAGCTTTCTAAGTCCAAGTTCCGCGCGCAGGCATTACCAGGGATGACTTTGTTTTAATCCTCTTGGTGGGAACTGGAGGCAGTAAAAAAGCTAACGCCCTATAGCTAATTTAGATAAGAGATATATATTTTTTGATATATGATACATTATGATGAAACCGTTTCGAACAATCTGCTGAACGACCTTTAGGATTTTGGTTTTAATAGTTTATTTTCTCGGAAATCCAAATGCAATCCATTTTTTTTATAGGAAGGAAGTTGCTATATACCATATCATGATTATAGCTAATTAAGCCATTTAACTGATTTCTTCAGTTGAATAAAGAAACGGTTGTACACAGAACTTATCGGTCAATGGATAGCCGCACAACGCCTGCTTCCACAAAAATGGAGAAAGGAAAACGCTGCATGTGTGCATGGCTACAAGGAGGGGACTATAACTGTAGTCACCGACCGAGAAGTGACGTGTTTGCTGCATATTATGAAGTTGGCAAATGAACGCTGTCCTTTAAGTCAATAAGATAAGTAGTTCAAAGAAACTTCATGCTACATGCACACTAACCATAATTTTAACCCCAGATGATCCCATCTTCATGTTCTGGTCTGATTCTAAATCATTGCTTCCCAGAAAAAGCGCACCGCAGACAACGATTGCCAAATTCACGATGATGGCGAACACATAGACCCATGCGGGCGTGTTAAGGTTTGGTACATAATACAGAGCGCAGCAAATCGGTGCAGACAGGCTCATGAAACCAAGCATAAATCCCAGAGTTCTGCGTCTTTGTTCCGGTATAGTTAGATTTCTGGCGACAGGTTCTTGGATTTCGCCGCCTTCTCTTTCCCTTTCGTCCTCCAAGGAATGCTCCAGGAATAACAGTGAGCATAAGAGGCGGTAATCTATGATCAACGCTTTGTAGAAAGCCACAAAGACATCGAACCAAGGACCGAACATCACTCTAGTGTGACTTAACTCGACATCACTGTCCTCGTTGACTTGAGAGTCCACCCACTCGATGAAGTTGAAAAACGCCAGTGTTTTAAAGTAAAACTGGGCATTTTCTCTGTACCGTGGACAGATCGTCTTAAATCGCAGAACAACGATATAGACGAACGCTTGGACGATTTTCTGGACAAGGAAAGTTGACTTGTCTGCGAGAACAAGAGGCCACAACTTCTGCATCTTTTCTGAAGTTTCTTCTTTCTTGGAAGCATTAGCTGCGGCAAGAAGAAATATCTCGGCGATAATCAGTGGAATTGTAATTGCTCCAACGACAAGTCCCATTGAAGGCTGCTGTTGAGCCAATGTAGACTGATTGCCCGCGTCTTCCGGTTTGGAGAAGAATAGCCAGGCCCCAGCGAAAATGAAAGCTATTCCAACCAGAAACCCTGTCGCAAGGCGGAAGTATATCTTTAACTCGTGGTCGCCTGAATTGGTGAAAATATTGACGCAACCCATTAATGTTCCTATCAGAAAAAGGATAAGCGTGGCTTGAGATGTAAACACTTTGACACACGCTTTGAAACAAACGCCCAAGATGCTCAAGACAAGAATGACCAAGTAGAACAGCAAGGCATAAGATGCGGCGATGATCTGAGAAGCTGACACCGTCGTGTTGAGATCGCGTGCTGTGACATTCTTACAAGGAAAGTTGTGCGTCACGTCTAGATCTGAGGAAACACTGCTACCAACCCAGTTCATTTCCACGTTGGGTTTGAGCGGGAAATTGGAAGCTTTCTCTGATATCTTAACTTGGAGACAGCTTTGCCGTGTTCTCCCTTTACTTGCTTTGTAAGTTGATACCACTCCGTGCTGGGAATTTTCCCAGATTAACGAGCTGACTAAAATATCTATATATTGATGTTTTTTCCAGAATCAAATTTGAAAGCGTCGCTTGTAACTTCCTCCCTTCACAATTTAACTGCTCGGAACTGGTTCTTTAGACGACTGTGAAGAATCAGAACACAAACTGTTGCGTGTTGTCAGCGTTATGCAAACTTTCATTTGCTAATTACGACAGCGGCCTGCGGTCCACTATAGCTCTAATTATAATCTCTCAGTAGACTAGTGATAGATGTTCAGTGACCCCGATATTTACAGTTAACGTGATCCTAATTATATTGTAATTTGCCACCATGCAATAAAAGACCTCTGCATCAACATGGACGTAAACGTACGTAAATTGTAGCTTTATTTATGAGACATACATTGCAGAACAAAAAGCATATATAGTCTTGTTAAGTCAGCGGTCAACTTCTCAGTGCGAACTCTCCAGTTGCTTTCTAGGAGTACAGACCACTGAACAAAATGTATAGGCAGTGGAAACAAATTAGTTTAGAACTAATTATGTTGTGTTGCAGTTAAAACGGAGACATCAAAAGAGTTGGAATAAATCCGTAATAGCAGTGGTAGTTTCACTGTTTTCAGAAGAACAGTACACTAAAACTCGATGGAATTGTTTTGAAACGGCCTCAAAACGTCACGGAAATATTAGTAGCACGCAGTCGACAAAAGAGTCGAAGTAAATCGTTCTTATTTAATTTCTTTGACAAAGTATATAATTACTTCGAATTGATATAAACGATCGTTACATTCCCATACAAACTCTCATATTATTTTACGCCGTGTTGCGCAACGGAGGGTAATATACTAAAAATGCTCACGTTTCCCAGAGAGCTTGGGAGACCTATAATTATTCCTCTTGGGCTTACAGTCCGATTTATAAGTTTTTTAACACTCTGATCTTTGCTCGCAGTCGGCGAGAAAGGGAAAATTAGATAACTTTAACCTCAACCCCTATGAAGATGATTATGTTTATGTCCATTTCCTACTCTTGATATTGAATGCCCATAATTATTGTGTTTCACGGCTCCATTTATTATAACTGTCTCTTTTCACAGTTTCTTTCACCATTAGGCCTACTTATCACTAGTTCGACTCATTGTACTTGCTTATGTGATTCAGCGTTAAATTAATTTTATTTTTTCTTTTGATTGTGACTTAATGTATTATTTCTCAATACCCGCCACGATTAGCCAACGCTACACGCGGGTAGTGTAAATTGTAATTTGAAATTTGTAATGGAAATAAATGAACTGTAAACTTTACGTACCAATTCGCCACTGTATAAGAGTTTTATACGGCTTTCGAAGTTATGGTTATGATTACGCTTTATCCTGTGAGCCTCAGTTAATATTCGATGGAAGTTTTTTTTCTTTTCTGTATTGATGGATTTACAAGATAGTTACAGGTAAGCTTAGGTGGGACTCTGAATAATGCACCAGGCTGTTGGAGCGAATCTGAAATCGTTGCAGAAAAGGTTTGCTTTCTGGTCGGAACTGTAATGAAAAAGCTTAGTTTATTTAGCAAGCAAATGACGTCGTTTCTCCTAATTAACACCAAGTATGCGTGGTTTTGAAATAGTAACTGCTGTTTGCTGTGAACATAAAAAAGGACAGCCCATTTCTGTATAGGCATGTTTCACCGCAGAGTATTTTCATTAGAGCAAAATGATTGTTTGCCTGATTATATTTAAATAAGAAGAGCTGACAATAAAAGATATTCATTTATGTGCTCAATTAAATCTTTAATCGTATCTATAACGAAATTCTCGATCGTGAATGGTTCTCCGCGCGCCTATTTGCCCCAAATCGGCGCGCGATCACGTGGATGTCCAATTACAGGTATCCAATTTGAACTTTTTGTAATTGGACACCTGTAATTGGATACCCACGTGATTCGCACGTCAATTGCGTGCGCTTTAATGGCTTTCAGTTTGCAATGTTTCCTACAGTTTTCAAAACTTAGGAAACGCTGTATACGTTTTCGCTCAAAAGAAGTTCTCAAAAGACATTTTTAAATTCCGAAATTTGTTATAGATACGATAAATCAGTAATTAGACCTCGTCTCCTACAATACGTAATAGTAATTGGACTTCGTGTCGTACAATTCGGGGAGTAATCGCGCGAGTAATTTCAAAATCGGACGAGTGCGAAGCGCGAGGCCGATTTGAAATTACAAGCACGTTCCCTGAATTGTACGACACGAGGTCCAAGTACTAATTAATCGTATCTATAACAAATTTCGGAATTTTAAATGTCTTTTGAGGACTTCTTTCAGCGCAAACGTCTGCAGCACTTTTCATAAGTTTTGAAAAATGCAGGAAACATTGCGACGGAAGCCATTAAAGCGCGCGTAATTGACGTGCAAATCGCGTGGGTATCCAATTACAGGTATCTAATTACAAAGAGTTCAAATTGGATACCTGTAATTGGACACCTTCACGATCGCGCGCCGATTACGTGACAAATAGGCGCGCGGAGAACCAATCACGGTCGAGAATTTCGTTATAGATACGATTGTCGGGGACTGGGGCACACATTACGAAATCGTGAAACTTGATCATTTTAATTAGAAGAGTTTGCGCAACAATTTAGGAGTTAGTCCAGATCGATATAGCTTCGTGTTAAGACACTGTCAGAACCTTTGCGAACTTGTGACCATTAAAGCTTTTAGGAAATCAACCTTGTGACTTGACTTGGATACTGCTTCAGCGGCGGGAGAATTCCAGCAAACGATTATTATTATTAGATTTATGATATGGGATAAAGAACACATGCTTCTTGCGGGGTATAGCGAATAATCCCAAGCGGGAGAGATAGTGCTATCTTGCATGCTCAGGTAGCCAATCACAGCGCAGGATTTGGTTCATCCTGTCCGCTCACGGAGCTCGCCACAAGATGAAACTTTTCATTAAATGCTAATATAATTTTCCTTAAGTTAGTATGCCTTTGTAAAAGTTGCCGCTACATCAACCGGGATCAATCTCTGCATCGAGGTATTCTGAGATGGTTGATGAGCGAGCTGATCTGTAACTTGAATTTGGTGAGTCACCATCTCGTTTTACAATATTTGTCAGGATTATAACAAAGTGTAAAGACACATGAATTAGGAATCCCAGGTACATTGGTGGACCTGCCTCAAAAAGAATCTTCATGCTTTCCTCTTTGATTTCACACCTGCAAGAAAGATAACTTAACTAAAGTTAAACAAGAACTTCGAACCTTAGAGGGAAGAAGATGTTTCGTTAACTCTCTAGCTATCTTTCGGGTTTTAACCGTGTTGGCACGATTTTATTGAGAAAAGTTATAAAAAAAATGTTGCGACTTTTCCAATAAATGAAAACGAATGACGTGCGATCAACTTGGGTTCACTTGCTCTAGGCCGTCAAAACGGTGAAAGAATTTGCACCGACTTGGGTCGGAAAATTTTGATCTCGTCTAAAGTGAACGCAGGTAAAAGCGCACGCCATCGCTTGCCAAAAGGAGTCGCAAGTAGTCTGAACTTGTGTCTACTTGTGGCTACTTGCAACTCCGTCTGGCAGCCTAAAATTACTCTCTTGTTTTTTTGTAAGAAGGTTGGAGCTGAGATTAAGGCATATTTTAAGAACATTTTGACAACTATATTTAAAGAGGAGTCTGATTAACACTGGTAAAATGCAAGACTTAGCTTGAGTCTGCATTTCAATAACCAAATGCTTGAACATAAGCAGTATAAGCAATGAGATTACAAAATCTTATTGCATGGTTCATTGCCAAGTTCAGCCTCAGTCCAAAAATTTGACCTTAACCCTTTGAATACCAACTACGTAATTAATGGTCATGCTCTTTGTACAACTTGTGACGTCATCAATTTAAATGTCATCAGATATTCTTGATAAGCAGATAGTAATACTAGGCTAGGCCTTTCCGCACAATGGTCAGGTTTAGATATCGACGACATTCCGACGTCGCAAATCGAAAAACAACTTTATCAGTTTTGGTGCAAAAACGGTGGTAAAATGGTCCACTACGCCTATGATTGATCAAGGTCCATTTCTAGGCTTCGCCCGTAACTAACATCCAACTTTTCACGGCAGCCAGAAAGAACATACAATGCAAAAGGTAGCCAGTGTAAAAGGGCCGAGAAAAACAGAAAGGAAAGGGGCAACAAGCAAAATTGAGAACGGTTAATGGCATAAAAAGTCCAAATTTTGGCTTATGCGCATGCCCGGAATTGAAATTTTGCTCAATTTTGTACCTAATCTTCGAAAAATCTCTCCTTTTAGTAAAAAAAAGCCTTCTTAGCAAAACTTAGGCCTATTTAGCGTCATGGCAGCTAAAAAACTTGACTAAGTGGTTAAAAACGGTATTTTTTTCAGTGGCGAAAGTTTGGTATCCAAAGGGTTAGTACAAAAAAGGAGTGTTCATACACGCGTCTCCCCACATCATTACAAACCTGAATATTTTATCCAGTCCAAGATACTGATCAATCAAGCTCTCCAAAAACACAGAGATTATCGCTAACATGAGAGCAGGTACAAGAAGATAATTTACTGTTCTGTTCGGGTTTTTTAAGGGGAAGGCTCTGACGTTTACTTGCATGAACAAAGCCATCAGGAATGCTGTTGTGACACAGCGCGCGACAAACTTTGGAGCATCCCAGCCAATGTATGATGGGTCACCTCCCATGTCTCTTCTAGCGTTTGCGGTAGCCGCCCAAACACAAGCGATGGCTGCTTTTATCAACCAGCAGGTGAAGCCTACTGCACCCATACAACAAACCTATGGGAGAAGATTAAATTCATTGAAGGTTAAAACGAGCACGATAAAAGTTAGCCGTAGGCTCTATTTCCCTCACTATCTCGAGTCCGGTTTTTGTCCCTTCTTGAGAAGGGCAGCAGGATGGCACAGAGGTAGGAGCGCTCGCCTCCCACCAATGTGGCCTGGATTCGACTATATTCCGGCTCGGTGCCATATGTGTTTTGAGTTTGTTGTTGGTTCTTGCCTTGCTCTGAGGGTTTTTCTCCGGGTTGTCCGGTTTTCCTCCCTCCAAAAACCAACACTCCAAATTCCAATTCGGCCAGGATAGAGGACCCGCATAATGCGGCTTCCTCTCTAAATATTGTAATTTAATTGAGACTAAGTTACGGATAAAAGTTGGAAGAGAGCGTCTTCAACTCCCATCGTGCCGTGACAAAGTACAAAAGGGAAAGTCTCGATTTGACGCAGCGGGCGATCAAATAATTCCCTTCTCCTGGTGGAATTGTGTTCTACAATTATGGACAAAAGTCTTGAGACAAATTTGCACTTTTGGCGCTTTTGCGCACACGCTAGACGTGGATGCAACCTCACCTGCCTAACCTCTCCCCCCACCCCACATACAATGTTGAAAACTACTACCTGGAATTTCTCCCGATTTTCAACATTGTATTGGGTGGCGGGGAGGGGAGGCAACAACGCGTTTTTAAAAGGATAGCAGCGCTTTTTTCAAACTTCAGTCGTAAAATACAGATAGTTCGTTACATTACCTAAGTGTCCCAAGGATGTTTGTCCACGACTGTAGTTCCTCACATGAAATAGCATAAAGTACCAAGAGATGATGAAGAGTAAGAGAGTTATTGCCACAGTATATGTAACCCTTATTTCATAAGCAATCCCTCTCTAGTTATCTAAAGTACTTCTTGTTTCGGAAATCCCAGGGGGATCTAAAAATACTAGAATAACCTGATAACAAACCTAGTGTGAAGCAGGCTTTGCTCATGCACGGGGACAGCCAAGGGCCTTTACACACATTCGCACCTTAAACGAACACCCGCGCAAAAGGTTATTCCGTGGACGAAAGGCGTATACCATGTCTAAAAATAACGTGAGAGGGATCACCGTTGAGAGAAAGGCCTATATGGGGAATTAGCTCTCTAAAGCAGTTTTATGAGAAGTATCAAGTCCCAGGCAACACGTATGCATACCAAAATGTCCAAAATGGATGTCCCATTCAGTTAGTTTTATGTCCTTCTTCTTTTACGTTTATCAGACTCAGCACTAACCATGATTTTAACTCCATGTGATTCCTTCTTTCCTCCTCCATCCAAGTCATTACTGCACAGAAGACACGTTCCCAAAACAACGATGGTCGCATTGACGATTATAGCAGAGACATTGACCCATGGTTTGAGGTGAAACTGGTGCACATAATATAGTCCACAGAGCACTGGGGCAATAAGACAGGAAAAACCAAGGACATATCCTACGTTTCTTATCAGTCGCTCGCGTGGGGTCAAGTTTCTTCCGGTAGGCCCTTCGATATTGTCTGCTTCTTCGATTTCGTTGTTGTTGTTGTTGTGTTCAGTTTCAATAACGTCCACTGAGTGCTCAAGAAAAAGCAACGAACACAACAAGCGGTAATCTATGATTAGTGCGGTGTACAAATCAGTAAAAGCATTAAACCAGCCATCAACTTCTTTGGCTATTCCGCTCAATCGAACATCGCTGTTTACGTTCACCTGCGAGTCGACCCACTCGATTAAGTTGAAGAAGGACAGTGTTCTAAAATAAAACTGGGCATTTTCTTTGTACCCCTGACAAGTAATCGTATTCCGTAGGTAGAGATAAATAATTACTTGAATAATCTTTTGAGCGAGGAATATTGATTTGTCCACTAGTACGTATATCCAAATTGTCTTTGTTAACGGTCGACCTGCCGACCCGTCCGTATTCCTGGAAGCCGCACTTGCGACAAGAAGAACAATCTCGATGGCGACAAGAGGTAATGTAATTAATGTAACTACGAGTCCCATTGAAGGCTGTTGTCGACCCAAAGTTGGTGCATCTGCCCAATCTCCGGATGGCACTGTGAAGAAAAGCGCGGCGCCAAATACAGCGAAGACAATTCCAATAAGAAATATTGTGAAAATGCGGTAAGTCAGCTTGACCTGAAGTTCGTCTGCATTGGTGAGGACATTTACAAAGGTTATCAGTGCTCCTACAAGAAAAAAGAAAAGCGTACCTTGAGAAGAGGGCAGTTTGGCGCATTGCTCGAAACAAACGCCGAGGATACCCAGGCAAAACATGATCAAGTAGAATAGTCCAGTGCCAGACGCGGCGATGATTTGAGACGCATAAACCGTGGTATTCAGATCATGCTCGGTGACATTTTTACAACAGAAGTTGGAAGGAAAGTCTGACTGACTCAGGAGAGCATTGCCAAGCGTTGCATTCATATTGTGCTTGACTGCCTAGTTTCCAAACGGCTGAAACCGTTATTCGAACGGAGATAGCTTGAGAGCTTGTGGTACTTCCGGGGCCGGAATTGCCAAGATTAATTTTCTTTCTAAGAATTCATCTAAGATCAAGAGAAGTTTTCTTTCCCAGAAACAGATTGAGGACCTTGAAACTGAATGGAGTCCTGAGTCGCTACCTGAAATATACAGAACACTAGAGCAACAGATTGAAAGCCAGTGGGCATGTGCTAAAACCCAGACGGTGGATTCTGGACGATAGACGATAGACGATGGACGATGGACGATGG